GGACACTTAAGTCTTTTCATCATTCAGGTCATTGTTTACTCCAAAATTGAATATTAGGGAGTTTTTAGAACCTATAGGGGTTATATAATCTATATGCATACCATATGAGTGTTTTTCGCTCGCAACCCTAACATTTATAACATAAAAATAGTGCTAGGTGTTACAATGGAAGACTTGTCCCAAATCGGATGTAGCTGAGAAGTGAAATGGGTATAAATGGATTATGTGTTAGCCCTGCTTAATAGCTTAAGTTTTTGGATTAGATCGCGAAACACTCAGCAATTACAGTTGGTATCTGAGCTAGACCCCGTCCTTGGTCTGGTGTCATGTCAAGCGCCTGGCCTGGAGGCATCCAGGTGAAAACCCTTGGGTAGGTAGGTAGGCAGGGTGCCTTGACCGTAACGAAAGTATTGCGAGTTTGGGTGGGGAAAAATGTTACAAGGGGAGACTTGTCCCACATCGAATGCGAATGTGAATTGAAATAGGTATAAATAGATTAGGTATTAGCCATATCTAATTGCTTAAGTTTTTAAGTTGGATTGCGAAAAAAACACTTAATAAATTATTAAACAAAATGTAGTAAAACCTTACCTGAATTAATGAAATAGTAATGACAGTAAAACCGGTCATAGAGCAATAAGACAGTAAAAACTAACCTTATTGATTATGTACACGTATAGTATATGTATGCTTAGTTGATTACTATATTATATAAGTAATTTGTTAATAAGAAAAATGTTATAATTGATCAAACAATATAGATTCATTAGGGATAACTAAAATATTATCCATTAAAGATCAATATATAAACAAATTGTCTGAGTAAACACCACTTGCAATGTACGCATATTGATCTATATATATAAATATATATGATAAGGTGGTATCACATATGAAACGTATACATATATAATTCATACCCAGTAATAAAAACTCTACTTGTACATGCTTCATACAATTATATGGACAATACACTAAACATATTAATAGGGAGTGAATCCCATATATATCTGAATCCCATATATATGTGTAACAACTATAACATAAAGTTGGATTTAATTTATTTTCGTGGGATATAAAAATGGGATTTAAATTCGAAGGTTTAATTTGTCCATTTTGGGAAAAAGGACTACAATGGTTTGGGTCATTAATGGCATATTACTTTTGTCACCATCACCAATCAGACAAGGCTACTAAATTCATGAACAACTTAGTTGTCTTTCAACTCTTCTTGACCAATCACTCCATTTCAGTTTTTCTCTCAACTATACATATACATTCCTTCATAACAATATAATAATATACATATATATCTTCGTGTGCGAGAATAAGAATTGATTCAATATCAACAAATCCTTCAAATTATGAAAATTTGGTGAATCCAGTATGTAAAGATAAAAGCTTAATTATTGATATATTTTTATCTTAATATATAGTATCAAGTGCCGTTATTAATGAGAAGCAATTGATACCTGATGGAGTAATGGTAGTCCATATTGAAGAAGTTTCATGATCAACTATGGCACAAAGTACCTTTGACCTCTATTATCTTTATTCTACTTCCAATCTCTGTTGACCTCTCTCATCTCTACTCTGGAGCTTCTTGTTCAAGTCTCAGTTGATTAGAGACTCGTGCTAATAACATGTTATGAATGTAGACAAAATATAGAACACTAAGGGATACCCACAATAAAGAGAAGAATATAGAAATGAAGAGAGAGATTTTATTTACTTCTCAAAATCTTTAGTACATTAGTATGGCAAAGAGCAACCCATATTTATAGCCAAAACTGTTGCCTTAATCACCACCAATAGTTCAGCATTAATCAAGTGCATTTAACTCTTATTTATTGCACCATTAACAATGCATTTTCCACTTATTTAATAAACCATTAATTCAACACCATACCTAATTAGTGGACACCAAATATATAACAAAACAAATGCTTTAAAAAGTATATTAGCAGTTCTTTTTGCATAATGTCATTGTAGGAGGAAACGTTGTACATCAATAAAGCACATTCAGTAATTTTATTAACTAACAATTTTTTTTTGGGTGAATAATAAATTTTGTGTTTTTAAAGTATCAATTCTTAAACATACTATGATTTATAATGTTTTATTTTAAATATTTTGTTTTATTTGGATTTGATTGTAACGACCCACACCACCATATGGTATAATATTGTCCGTTTTGGGCTTGAGCCCGCACGGTTTTGCTCTTAAACTTCACCCCAAAAGGCCTTATACCAATTGGAGATGACACACTTACATATAAGCACTTCACCTTTCCTCTACCCAGGCGATGTGGGACTGTGCACCCGTAGCTCGCCAGTGTGGTAGCCTGACAGTGTCTCTCTCACCCGCCCACGGCACACCCGCCTACAGGGTCATCACAATCCACCCCCCTTGGAGGCCCGACGTCCCTGTCGGCACACTTCCGACTAGGTCAGGCTCTGATAGCATTTGTAATGACCCACTCCACCACATGGTATGATATTGTCCGCTTTAGGCCTGACCCAGCCGGAAGTGTGCCGACGGGGACTTCGGGTCTCCAAGAAGGGTGGATTGTGATGACCTTGTGGGCGGGTGTGCCGTGGGCAGGTGCAAGAGACACTGTCAGGCTACCACACTGGCGAGTTAGGGGTGCACAAGTCCCACGTCGCGCTGGGTAGAGGAAAGGTGAAGTGCTTATATGTAAGTGCATCATCTCCAATTGGTATGAGGCCTTTTGGGGTAAAGCCCAAGAGCAAATCCGTGCGGGCTCAGGCCCAAAGCGGATAATATCATACCATGTGGTGGAGTGGGTAGTTACAAATGGTATCAGAGCCTGACCCAGCCGGAAGTGTGTCGACAAGGACGTCGGGCCTCCAAGAGGGGTGGATTGTGATGATCTTGTGGGCGGGTGTGCCGTGGGCGGGTGCGAGAGACACTGACAGACTACCACACTGGCGAGTTACGGGTGCACAAGTCCCACATCACCTGGGTAGAGGGAAAGGTGAAGTGCTTATATGTAATTACATCATCTCCAATTGGCATGAGGCCTTTTGGGGTGAAGCCAAAGACCTTGTGGGCGGGTGTGCCGTGGGCGGGTGCGAGAGACACTGACAGGCTACCACACTGGCGAGTTACGGGTGCACAAGTCCCACATCACCTGGGTAGAGGGAAAGGTGAAGTGCTTATATGTAATTGCATCATCTCCAATTGGCATGAGGCCTTTTGGGATGAAGCCAAAGAGCAAAACCGTGCGGGCTCAGGCCTAAAGCGGACAATATCATACCATGTGGTGGAGTGGGTTGTTACATTGATGGAAATCTAAATCCATTCTAATATCATCGGATCATTTATTTCATTACATAAAGCCTATAATTTAATTTAGGGATAATTTCACTGACACCCCCAGTAGTTTGGCCAAATATCGATCTAAAACATCTTTCGAAAATAAGTATCACTCACGTTACAAACGTTTGCTCCGTTTTTCACTCACACCCCAAAAGTTAGTTGACAGGTGTGTCAGACCACTTTTTATATGTAAAAAAACATTCTTACCCTTTGACTTTGGTTTGACCTATTTAATTATTTTTTTAATAATTAAAATGACATACCCTTGTAATGTTAGACTTTTATACCCTTCACATGTTTTACACTTCTCTAACCTTCAAAGACCATCATTGTTCCTCAGTTTCGGCGACCATTGGGCCGCGGATGGCGAATATCTTCCAAAATTCTACTTCAGATATTCTTTCTCAGCTGATGCTCTTCTCCTTCCCTCTCTCTATATCTATCTCTGACTCTCTCTCTCCCCTCATCTTCACTGTACACTATGACTCTGTCTAATCTTCTATCAACTCCTCCCACCTTCTCCTACAAACAACCCCTGTACACAGCCTCACCTCTCTCTCTCAACCTCAGAAACCCATCCCTTCTTTCTCTAACAAATCGCACAACCAAACCCTGAAGGCTCATAACTGCCCAATCCAACGGTAGCGATTCAGTAAACCATTCGTCATGTTTTCCCTTGCCCACAACCCACGTCTGATTCTCCTCAAGCTATGGAGTGCAAGAAAATCCATTGAAATTATTTAAAGTACGCTAATTTCATTTTAAAGAGAGGTGAGAACTGGCAAGCAGAGGTGGAAGATCTCATTTCACCGCTCTCCGTCGTCCAGCAAAAAACATCCTCCCAACGAGTTTATCTACCCAATTTCTGGGTCGTTAATGGCCGACCCTGTCATCGTCTCCTCTGGCCAAACCTTCAAGCGTAATTGTGTTCAAGCCTGCAAGGCTTTAGGGTTCAAACCCATTCTCTCTGACGGCTCTACCCCTGATTTCTCCAATCTCATTCCCAATCTCGCCCTCAAATCCATCATCCTCAACTGGTGTGAAATTTTTCTCTTAAACCCTCCCAAACCCATCGATCTTCAATCCGCGGAGAAGCTCGCTCGTAAATTATTGGCCTAACAACAAACCACCCATAACGAAGAGAACAACCAGTTGATTAAAGGGGTTGTAGAGAATGGCAATGATGGTGTCAAGAAGTTCACTCACGCCGAGTCCGAGTTGACTTGGCAACAGACTCACTTCGCTTCCAGTTCCAACTCGGACGAATTTGTGGCCACCACCACTCCTCTGCCGCTATCCACTCGACCATCTTGTTATTCTGCTTCTTCTTCTTCCTTCTATATCGAAATCCTAAACCCTAATTTTAGTAGATATGTGAGGTTCAACACTATGCAAGCTATAGTTCTTGATGTGCTGTTGATTTTCCCTGATCTTCTGGAGAGGAGCTTCAATCCAAGAGATGGGTTGGGTTTGGATTTGTTGATGAGCTTAGACAGCACTGTGTTTTTGTTCCTTCTGGTGTGTTTGATATATGGCTCATCTTCTTGCTTGTTGGGTCAGCTGCCCAGATTGCCGATTGTTGCCGATGCCACGGACAGGCAAGTTCTATGAACGCATCAATTTGGTCAGATCCGCTCATATATATATATATAATTTGTAATTAAATGTGATTAAAAAATTAGGGGTAAACATGTCTTTTTACACGTTTTTAATGGAGACCGTAACCGACAACCAAAACTAGTGAGGTGTAAATGAAATTATCCCTTTTATTTAAATTCTATCCAGATGTATACCAAACAAACAAGGATTGTTGGTCAAGTCTTTGAATCTTTTCCTTTCCTTTCCTTTCTCAAAAAGCTTTTCTAACGGAATTGTTTCAAACACAGCGTTACTTCGTTTTTGCTTTTCCTTCCAACGAGAGGAACTACTGCTACTTGCAATCTTCGTTTGCTTCCTCTGCTATGATGCCTGTAATTCAAACACTGCTCAAACCCAAAATCTTGATCGGATTTGGGGACCTTCTGTACTCTCTCTCTTACATTCTCTATCATCGTTCAAACCCTATAGCAGTTTCTCTTTTCCATTCCTCTTCTGTCTTGCACATGTTGTATAAATTGCGCAATTACTACACGTATAACAGATTAATACAACATTTTGTATATACTATACCATTTTCTTGATTCTCTTTGCCCGGTTTGAGTTTTTGGTGCTTGAGTGAATTCCAAAAAGAAGAAATGGTTAGTTTTCTTTGACTTCAATCGCTATGTTTTTATTGCAGAATTGCAATTATATTCCGTATATGTTGTTTAATGTTTTTGTTAATAGGCAGTTTACATTTTATTTCAGTTGGGTTTTCTATTACAAAGAATTGCAAGACTTGGTGGTTCTGTTTTGCTTTTATCTTTTCCCCCTTTTGCATTGCATTATTTTGATGGTATTGAACGGTTGGTCTATTATTTCGGTTTAATTGATTTTGTGGGCAAACCCATACTGGGCTAATGTTAGAGGTGCTTGTCTCGTATCGGATTGGTCATGGGCTTATATGGCTGGGTAAGCAACACTACCCGACAACTTAAGCGGGGTCAAAGGGCAAGTGCCCGGCTTGTTACAATGGTGGTATCAGAGCCAAACTCCATCCTTAATCCAATGTGCCAAATCCCGTCCTTAATCCGATGTCACTCCAAGCGCCATCTCAGAAGGTGTCCGGAGTCTCTACCGGGTAGGCAAGGTGGTCCGACCGCATTGAGAACATTGCGAGTTTATGTGGGGGAATGTTAGAGGTTCTTGTCCCCATTGGATCGGATCCAGATTGTGAACCCGGTGGCTGTTTACAACTAACCTCTATCCGCTTTACAAAACTTAAATATTATACTACTCTCTCTCAAGCAATCAGACAGGGTTCTCCAAGCTTCAAACACCAATCCAGTTTTCCTGGCTTTCTTGAATTCTTGAGAAACAACATTAAGGGTTTCTGTAAGCTCCAAATGCCCCTTTCTAGTACAAATTCGAAATTTTGAACAGATATACCCACACACATCTGTTGTGTAACTTGTGTTCTTATGTATCCCTATTTTAAATGATCAGATAGGGCCTCTTTGAGCTCCAAATCCTCAACACAATAGTGGAAAGTGAGAATGAGGGCCTCTGTGGGCTACAAGTTCCCCCGACCTCCTGTTGAATGTTTTATATTAGTGTTAACAATTAGAAAGTTAACAAAACTTTATACTCATGCCATACAAGGGTTCACCCTAGTGCAGTTGCTCGTGTTCATGCGTATTTGCATGCATGCATCTGTATCAAGGTTGTATTTGTTTAGTGATGATTGGTATTCTTGTTACTTCTATAGGCTGGCAATGGTGGAAAGGACAGATTCCACAAAGATGACCTTCATGATCCGAAGAGAAAAGCCATCATGGGCAGAACAGTGCACCTCCATCAAGACACCTCTAGGTTGGAAATCTGTCGCACATCTGACAATACTTTGACCACTCACTTTTTACAGTTTGGCAAGTTTGAGGGCGTTGCTTTTCAAGCAGGACGTAGCTATGCTTTCATTAATTTTAAAATGAAGACGAGGCCTTTGCTGCAATGAGTGCATTTCAAGATTTTGTTGACGCTGGAAATCCACTTAAACTCAAGTTTGCAAAAGTGGTTAGTTTTGTCATTTTTTAATATATATATATATATATTTTATATTGCACTGCAATGTTGCTGTAATTTCTTGTATATGTAGATTTCACATCGATTATTTAAATCATTATCTTGAAGCCGTGGCAGCTTAAGTTAATGCATGTCGAGAGACATCATGTAGTCCAAATGTCCCAATCACTAATTTCTATGGGAGAAGAATCTTTGCCCTTTGTTAAGGTTCCACTTGTCATGCTTGCACTATTGGGTTAACCAATTTTTGAGAATGGAGACAGTTACTCTGAAAGTGAATTTAACTATCAGATAGAAAGGGTAGACATTATAACCCAAGCAATATGAATAGGCTCTTCTTCATTTCCATTGCATGCTCCACAGTCTCTAGTTTGCAAGAGGTTGGTAGTCTTTTCTTTGAGAAAGTTCTACGGTGTATGTAAATTAACAGTCCTATAATAAGATTACTATGTTACTTGCAATTATTTGAAGTGGTCCATCTGTTATGCATACCAACAAAAATAAAAGGAAAATGGTAAGTTACTATCACATCTATAGGGTGACATTGTACTATGAGAATAGTTCCTTCTTCCATTTGCATTGATTCTCTATATTCTATTCAATCAATAACAACTATGACTATTTTATTTTATTTTTGGTAAGTAACTACGACAATCCTATGTTAAACAGAGACTTGCAACTTAATCAGACTAGTGGTTCTACACTTACGAGTCATGTCTTATTTGTACCACTTTAAGTGGAGCCATTCCTCATGCTCATCATCACTATTATCTGAAGCAGCATAATAACTTCTCATACAGGAGGATAGACATTTTTTTTTGAAGGAATAGATCTTTCCATTTTCAATTGCTTTCTCAACATATTTTCAGTCAAGGAGGAGAATTCCCATTTTAGAAGCTAAATCTTCAACTTAATGACATTATAGCTTACACATCCTTTAAAAAATTTAAACTCAATAAGAAATGTCATAACTGCAATTCTTTAGAATGGGCCCATCTGCGATGCTTTTCACCTCCATTAAAGGAAGAAATGATAAGTTTTTACAAAAATAAAGGTGGACATTATTAATTAAGGAATAGGTCCTTCAATTTTCTGTTGAATGGTTTACATGTTATTAATCAACAAAAAGAGTAGTCTTAAACAAAAATATGCAGTTTAGGGTTAACTAAATAACAGTCCCACACTTAAGTATTATTTGCATTTCTTTGGGTGCACCAACCAACATCCTTACTGCCACCACTGGAAGAAGGGGATTGATAAGTAATCAAGTCAAGGGCTTTGAGTTGGACTTGAAATGTTAGATAAAAGTGAAGAGCAATGGAAATAAGGAGGATTGTGAAGATGCTGGTTAGTCTATGAAACATATAAAGATAAAAAAGAAAGAAATTTCATCTAAGTGTTAAATCATTCTATCTTTTGGCGTCTTATGATAGTCAAGATCAGCAAGCTGTTGTCCAAGGCTTCATATCTTTAGGAAGCTCAACATTAACTGGGGCCTCAATTTTGTTTTTGAATGTGATGTTGGTTTACCAGTAATCAAGTACAAGTTAGACAAAAATAATCAGTATGATCCCAATGAGATATCTGCATATCATTGACTGCTCTGGAATCATTGGACCACAGTGGCATGATCAGTGTGTGTGTGTGTGTGTGTGTCAGAGAGAGAGAGAGAGAGAGAGAGAGAGAGAGTTTTTTCCCTTTTCTTTTTCTTTTTTCTCTTTTTTATTTAATAGCTTATAATATGTATTTATCCATTCTTCTTTCATTTAGCATATCAACTTCATAAATTCATTTAATTCAAGTTTTAAAGTTGTTCTTTTTCTACCTTTTAAATTGCTTTGACTTTTTTACCTATACATGACATTCAAAACAATACGTGTATATAAATATGTGTGTGGAAACTTTGGTTCTAACTTCTACGTAGTAATTGATATTTTTCTTATAATTTAGATGTTTATTTCTTCTGTTTGTTTTTTCGGTATACTTCCCAATAACATTCATCATAAGATTAAATTGGCATCTTTAAAGTTCATAAGAGTAATGGTATTCTTTTTTAGGTGACATAATAGTATTAGAAGCTACACACATGACACACTTTAGTTAATTCAATAATTTACTACTTCTAATATACGAATAATTTGACTTTTATATTGGTTGGTAGTTTTTGTCTTCTCAATGGTGAACTTTGTGCACCTTGTCTTCGTACTTGGTATGTTACATTTAATTATATAGTATTTTGGCTCGAACTTAGAATATCTATCTACACTTCTCAAAGTTCAATTTAATAATTTCATTTTTTTTCCTGTTTTTACTATCAACTGTCCTATCTCTAATTCAATTTCAAATTCAGTAACATTGTAGATACCTTTGTTCTGGGACCATTGATTCTTCATTGATACCAAGATTCAAGAATGAAGACCTTGAAAAGAAAAATAAAAAGTTTACCGTGTTTTTGAAAGGGTTTAGTGTTCTTTTTTTAGCCCTTTTTTGATAAGTGTACGTTTTTTGCAGTTCTGCATTTGCCAGAGATGAATTAACTTGATTCTATATCTTAGCTTAGTTGCACGCTCAATAAATTGGTTAAAACAATGCCGCTTAGGTCATGACGTTTGAATTAATGTATTACCTCGTATTGATTTGGACAATGGTAATACTACTACTTCTTATTTTTGGGGTGTAACACCGTGAGATGTTTATTCTAGTGTGCTTATGTCATTATGAAGTGAGCAGTGTCCATATATACTTAGATTGTCACATGACAACTCAAGATGTAGGCATATGACAGCTGAAGTGGCATAGCCCTTGTAATCAGGGTCAGCTTGACACAGTTCGAACTTTAATATGAAATAGTTAAATTAGGCCTTTTCACATTAGCTATATTAATACAATATAAATAAATTTTATTTAAAAATTATTCTCTCTGCGTACATATCGACCAATAAAAGAGCAATTGTATTTATTTGGTAATTAATAATAAAGCATAATCAATACAATAAAAGAAATATATAAGAATATAATGAGATCACTTGTATGGGGTCTCTTCTCCCATTGGGGGCTTTAGTTGGCTGCCTTAATTGCCTTATGGTTGCTTGTGATCAATGAGATATGACACAACGTCGAAGTAAAATATTGGTTGGATCTTAGGGTTTCTTTATAGATCTAGGGTTGCTTTTTGGAGGGTAGAGTTGACGAGACCCTAGAGTGACTGCCTCTCTCCTCTCTAATCCTTATATTTCCTCCCTATTGTTCTCATTTTTTTTTCTTTCTTTTTTTTTTTTTTTTTTTTTTTCTGCATTTTCGCCTTCCGAGTTTTGGTTGGAAGCTTTCTCCATTTGCCTTGTTGTTGGTACTTTAGCTTGGGGAGATCAATTTCGTGTTGCCGGTGAGATGTAACTTTACTTTCTTCGCTATTTATAAATTGTTCCTTTTCCACTTTATCACATTCTTATTTCCCATCAAATCGTTGCATCCAAAGACCTGTGTACGCATTTCCAGAATTTTGAGAATTGAACTCAACTTTCTTCCTATAGATTTGCTTGGTTGAGAATAATTGGCTTCTTATATATGTTACATCCTACAAATATTGTTTCTTTGCTTGTTATTTGTTTTTGTTTTTTTTTGTAGTTTTGTCCATTTGTTTGATGACTTTGTGTTATTTGTATCTTGTGGTTTTATTAATTAACTAAATTTGGCTTTGGAAATTATTCTTCAGTTAGTCTAGGCAGAATCTGGATCTCTCTTGCTCTCCTGGTTGTATGGCGTTTGTGGATGCATAATTGATTGATTAATCAAAGCAACTCACATTGATTTTTCTAAAGCATTCTCTAAGCATTTCCTACCCTAGGGTTTCGTGAGAAGGGAATCGAGATAGTTGATTATGACAATTTGGCAGTATTGGGATGTCGTGAGGGATAAAATTTAGTCAGTAAAACTATCCCAAATTTGCGGCATTGTTGCGATGTTATGGGAAGCACAAATAGTTATAAATAGGGACACAGGTTGATTGTAAACTAGGTTAATTTTTTTTAATGTTGATTTAGCTTAAAAAGAGTGAACGCAACATTGTCCCAAAGTTCAACTTTGTGTAGACTTTGTTTACTTATTGAGTGGAATTATTTATTTATTCATTAATTATTATTATTATTATTATTTTATCTTGACTCCTTGAGTGGAAGTTATTATGTAGTTTCATAGATTTGAAATTTTCAAAATTGACGTGATGTTCAATTTTAGATGTAAACCACTGAAAGGTCAAATTAAGTGATGGCATTGCTAAAAAAAGTGTAAAACTGTGCAGTATCTTGGGGTACAATAGCAGCAGTGCTTTATGCTTGCCAATGCATCAGCAAGAAGTTTGTCTCGAGTTGTTTTCCAACTATTCTGTACTAATTCAAGCATTCTTATCAAGGGACTACATGTTTCTTTTTAATTTTTATATATTTTTTAAGTGACTTTTCTGAGAGTACTATGGGTTCTTTTGGTTGGATTATAAATGCAGTCAGATTAAGATGGAAACTGAAAATATTTATGGAAAACTTACCCTGAGTCAATTTTGTAATATATTTACTGTGAGGTTCGATAATACTCTGACCTTAAACTGACATAAAAGTAATTATTATTTTCAAATTTTCCACAATGAAGTTCTTTTTCTTATCCCTTTTTTGTATTTCTTAATAATTAATTTCCTTGAAAACATTTTTTGATTTGATATTAAGTTCTTCTTGACTCATAGTATGAAGCTTTGGCAGAGTGATCAAGTAAAAGACTAAATAGGAAGCAATAGCCTAGAAAGTTTTTATGCCCTTATATTTTTGAACTTTAAACATGAACGAAATATCCTTAAAAAGCGAGAACAAAGATCTGTATATTATGTATTAATTATATATTTAGAAATATTTATGAAATGGTGTCTAAATAGGTAAGGTGGTGAGATTCAGAAAAAGGAAGAATTAGTGGATATCTTAATGCTGTCCATATGTACTCAAAGCACA